TGATCCACTCGGAGTGTCCCATTCATTTCATTTACAGCAGAAGATCAGAAACATGGAAGCAGGAGGAATGATGAGCAGGAAGTGGAATCAACAACCCAACACACCAGTGGGAGAGAATCCATGATTGCTAAATAATCTGTAGTCTCCTCTGGGAATCATATATATTCCCAAAAACAGCAGAGTGTGGAGCAGATGTTTGTGCTGGTCAGGCTGACGTTCCCACTGAACGTGGAACTGGTCAGGAGTCTGGAGCCAAACTGAAGAAGAATCACAGCACATGCATCTTTCCTGATCTACATCCCAACACTCCAAACTGAAACGCTGGAAGTCTCCTTATAATTCCTAAAATCCACCCTGTTGCTTCCAGGTGAACAAAAGCTGTGAGCAGAGAGGGAACCCGGTTATCTCAGCAAACAGAGCTTCTGCGAGCAGAACCGGTGCGGTGTCGTACGCCCGACCCGGCGACAGACAGCATCTTTATGGTTTTAATGGTTTTAGTGGAGCTGGGCGCTCCTCGGCAGCGAATGATGGATGGTCCTGGAACGCCCCACAGACGTTTATGATCCCCACAAGCAGCTCGACCGGAGCTCCTCATAAAGGCTCTCCTGTCATATCTGATGGGTTCTGTTTAGGACCGGACCCTCTGCAGCTGGTTTTATTCCGGTAAACGAATCGGTATTCTGGTTACAGATGATTTGATTGTTTTTATTGGGATGAAAACAAACGACTCAGCGTTACTAACACCTCCACGGTGGGTTTCCGGCTGTGGAAATGTCTTCCATGAGTTTCATTCAACAGTTTTACATAAACATGGAGTACAGAAACTTCTGGTAACAAACAAATATGTAGGGAGCAGATTATAATCTGCAGGATGAAAGCATGAAGCACCCAGCATTAATATGTTTTTTTAAATGTCTGAAATTATTTTGGTTAGTTTTTAAAAATGCTCAGTTACCCTGAGTGCTTCATGCAGGCTGAACATGAAAATAGTCTCCTACACCGATCTCCTGCAGTAGCTTCTGATAGAAAACAGATGGTGAAACTCTAGGATTAGAAAATCCTGACAGATCTACGTCACACCGTCGCTAACATTCATGGACTCACCCATCCGGACTCACGACGGGGAAGGCTGTTGTTGGTTCAGCGTCCAGGAAACAGCAGAGAACGTCTCAGCTAGCAGAAGCTAACTGTTAGCCTTAGCAACTCCACCACACAGCAGAACTCCTCCAGGCTCATGTTATTTGCACTCATTTCCATCAGATCTCTCAGCTGCCATCAGTCAACAGTTTGGCCACCTCCTGTCTGGACTATTGCGACTCACTTCTCTTCGGTCTGCCTCAAAACGTACTGCATAAACGTCTGCTGGTTTAAAATCCGGCTGCTCGTACGATCACCAGAACACTACTCTGATTGCATCACCCCCATTACTCAGCAGCTTCACATTTTAGCCCTTATTCCTAGTCTTGCCCCTCGTGTCTCTCCCAGCTCCTACAAGTCACCAGACCCACTCGCGTGCTCAGATCCTCTTCTTCCATCAACGTAACTAATCCACCAGCCCGTCTCGTCACACTGAGATACGAAGGCCGGTTTAGCCGGTCGGCCCCTCCCTATGGAACTCGTTACCTGCTCACCTATGGAACACGACTAGCCGTCACCGATCCCAGGCTAATCTCAAAACTCCTGTTCAAAATAGATTATTCCATGTAGCTGTCACTGGTGTTTACCTGATGTTTTATTTGTTTAGTCTTTGAGTGGTTTTATTGGGTTGTTTGAAAGACGCTCCAAATAAAAACTATCATTATTATTATTATTATTATTATTATCATTATTATATTATTATTATTATTATTATTATTATTATTATTATTATCATCATTATCATCATCATCATTATTATGATTATTATCATTATTATCATCATTATCATCATCATCATCATTATGATTATTATCATTATTATCATCATTATCATCATCATCATCATTATTATGATTATTGTTATTATTATCATTATTATTATTATCATCATCATTATTATGATTATTATCATTATTATTATTATTATCATTATCATTATTATTCTTATTATTATTGTTATCATTATTATTATTATTATTATTGTTATTGTTATCATTATTATTATTATTATTGTTATTATTATTATTATTATTAGATAAAACAGCAACGTTGCACAGCAGACAGAGTCAGTGGTAGAGTCGTGTTGCTGTTAGCCAATCAGAGGAGAGATGTCCACATATCAGGAATATGAATGAATAACAGTCTAATCCCCCCCCCCCCAACACCACCACCACACATACACACACACACACACTGCTCGGACTGACTTGTGCTTCCTGACACCGGAGCACCGGAGCTTTTATCCACAGAAGACGACTCACAAGGCATTCGTGTATTCTAGAGACCACTGCAGGTTGTTTTTAAACACCAGAGAACGAGACGTTGGAGCCGTGTGTTTGCTCTGGGCTTTTATTTTGAAGGCTTTTTAAAGGAAGTCACATTCGGAATGATAAAGAGGGAATTGAAACTCGTTAGATCCAACCGCTAGCCTACAAGTCTGGACTCTAGTCGGTCTAGCCATGCTCGCCCCAGCGGGTCCCCCACTGGCCCCAACAGTGTCGTGCCTTGCCAACCACAGCGCTCTACATTTATTGGACGGGCTTAGCACCAGAGCTGCGATGGAAGAGAAAAACAAAGATGGCGTCGGCTCCTTCACAGCGGCTTTGGATGAATTAGACGTGGGCGTTTCTGAGAGTCATGAGCAGATAGAGGTGTAGGTTTAGAAAAAGGGCGTATTTGCTTCTTCCTGCTCGTCTGGCAGACCGCTACGTTCACGGACCACGGCCAGAAATAAACATGCATGGCCTGAGATTCAAACAGCAAAGGGAATTTAACCAGCAACCCGGGAGACTAACTAATCTCAACACCTCATTAGAAGAAAAACAAGCTAAATGTTAGCCTATCTGGTATTAGCTCTGAGCTAGCGAGCGCTGACGGTTCCCACACTTCCTTCTCCGGGTGAACGCATGACGGAAGCAGCAGAATTCCCTTTCCCGCTCATTTCAGCCTAATCCTGGATTAAAATGCTGTCATTTCAAATGAGATTATTTACCAACAACGGCACAGCTCACAGCTGGGATTCAGGATCGTTTGAGCTCTAGATGCACGCGGTGGTGCTGAGCGCTGCTGCTGCTGGGATCCCGGCCACGTGATGATGATGATGATGATGATGATGATGATGATGATGATGATGATGTCCTTGTGGTTTGTTTTCTGATTTTTGAATTTCTTTTATTATGAAACTAGTTTAGCTGCTGTCTTCGTCAGGACTCTAATCTGGGTGGGATTACTCCTGGTAAAGTGACAAACCCCTAAACCTATCCTCCCGTAGGGATTAAGGATCAATCGTTACCAGGAATGATCCATAACAGACAAGAGCAAACATCATGTGTTCATCAAACGTGCCTTAGCCGCAGCAGCAGATCTATCACAGCGTGCTTTAGTTCTTCTCATCCGACAGAACACATAGAGAGTATTTGACCTCCTCACCAGGTGGGGGGAGTTGTTTCCTCCTGTGGGCGTGGCCAACCCACTTGACTGACATGTACCTGCTGACAGAGCTGAGGAGGACCACAGCTCGCGAAACGCATTAGTTTTAATGTGTCTGAACGCCACATCAGTATCGGTCCGAGTTCGACTAGAATCAGAAATCGGTATCGGTCCTTAAAACCTGAACCGGTGCACCTCTGGGACGTCTGAGTCGAAATCAGCGGATTAAGCCATCAGGCTGGATTCGGCTGGATTACGATCCCGATTCGTCTGAAGCAACAAGTTGGCGATGAGAACAGGTCTGAAAGTTCTTCTCTGATGATTCCCGAGCGGTTATGGGATCGTGGAGAAGATTCCTGAAGGGAGTTAGGGAGTAAGTTTCTATTGGCTGGATTCACTCCATTTTCACTGAATCGCATCACATCAAACAGGTATTAGATCAGAACCCTCCTCCCAACCCCGCCCACCCCAGGTGAGAAGCATGGTCCAATCAGAACAGCTGCCTGCTGGAACTAGAGGACTGCACCTCACCGGGAACAGGAACGGCTTCGGTTCTGCTCTAAATTACCCGGATCAGACGGATTTATGAGCCGAGCTGAGAGGGCAGCGAGCATCAGGACGGATAACACACAGTGTGTGTGTGTGTGTGTGTGTGTGTGTGTGTGTGTGTGTGTGTGTGTGTGTGTGTGTGTGTGTGTGTGTGTGTGTGTGTGTGTGTGTGTGTGTGTGTGTGTGTGTGTTCTCAGATCATAAATTACCCTAACTGAAATGTCCGACTCCTGACACACACGGAGCTGATCTGGGATCTGTTTGTTCAATAGCTGAAAACAACATTATGACATCATCATGGGATCTATAACATAATCTGCATCAACCAAACAAACAAACAAACAAACATCTTTGTTTTTATTTGGACTCGTTTAGGTCAGAGCAGGTGTTGATTTTAGCCTCTAAAACATCCCATAATGATCTAACCCCGCCAACCCGTCAGAACCAAACATTTAAATTCAACTTTAATCTCATTTACTGGTTCTGGAGGCTTCGGCCCAGACACACCTGCTGATCCAGACCAGGTGTGCTGCAGGTGCGGGCCTCAGAACCAGGACGGAAACTAGAACCTCTGATCCTGCTGGTACCAGTCAGTCTTTTATCAGCTGTTGGGTCAGAACCTGGTCAGACGCAGAAGGACCTGGTCAGGCTCAGTCAGACCTGCTGCTGGTACCGACCTTTACCAGAACCTGGAGGACCAGTAGGCCAAATCCGTGACACACCAACAGAACCCACCAGAACTCCCTGTGTGAAGCAGCACCTGAACCAGAACATCAGCAAAAACTAGCAGAATCCGAACTAAACCCTCCCGGGTCCATCCGGCCAGCAGCAGAACCAGTGAAAACCACGCGCGCGCCAACACACACACACACACACACACTCACCGTGCACGGAGCCCTGAGCTCCCAGCAGACAGCAGACCAACAGCAGGTAGACTCCTCCGGTACTTCTCTTCGGAACCAGCGCGGTCCAAACATCCCCGGTATATCCACCCGGAACCAGACCCATGCCGCTCCGCTCCGGTCCCTCTGAGTTCGACAGAAACAGATCCAGTCCAGCAGATCTGGGATTTTATCTGAAATCCTCCTCAGAATCCTGCAGGGAAATCATGGGAGAAAATAAAACCCAGACGGGTTCCGGTCCGGACGGAATGATGGTGGTGATGAAGAGGAGAGTGAGGAGAAACCTCTCCTCTCCCCAGAAACTGATCCTCAGATGTCAAACAGAAGATTCCCAAACAGGCAGCCCGGAATTCTTTCAGGAATGTAACAGCAGAACTTCCCAGAAACTAAGAAGTCTCCATCACTTCCACTCGCGTACGGAGCAGGTCCGCGCCAACTTCCCGGAGGTCCACTCCGTCTGCCGGGGAGGACGCACGGACTGGCTCGGTACAGGCTGGGGGGAGGGAGGGGGGGAGGCAAAACCCTCACTCTCTCTGTGTAGGTCTCCACAGCTGGGGGGGGGGGGGGGGGGGGGAGCGAGCGAGCGAGCGAGCGAGAGAGAGAGAGAGAGAGAGAGAGAGAGAGAGAGAGAGAGAGAGAGAGAGAGAGAGAGAGAGAGAGAGAGAGAGAGAGAGAGAGAGAGAGAGAGAGAGAGAGAGAGGCCATTGATCTAAAGAGGCTGGAGGTAAAACGCGGAGCGGATCTAAAGGGGCCGCTGCGGCCGGACGGAGATTAGCTGATCTCTGCTGCCACCTCTGGTCATTATGAGAGCTGCATCTGTCTGGGTTCTGCTCAGATGTGACAAAAACAACCAGAAATAAATGTAATTAGTTTAAATAGTAAAGGACATTCTGCGGATAATAAATCTGGTGACTTCCGGGCTCGTTTCAACCAGCTCAGCTCATGAATTAACTTCTCGGTTTATAAACGAACACAATTTAAAGATTTAACCAAAACGTGAATAAAAGGTTTATTTTATACTTTGGAAACTTTATTTAAAGACTTTTGTCATTTTATATATTATTTGGAATTCAATGTGCAATTTTTACTCATGACAAAATAACACAAGTTGATCAGTAAACAGTGGAAGGTCACCGGTACGCTCCACAGAAACAACTCAGATAAAAAATGCTGCTGCTGGACATTCTGCTCCGTTTTACGGCTTTTTGTCAGACTCTGAACCAGGAAATGGCTGCAGGCAGTGAAGCAGAAGGCAAGAAACTCCAGAGCTACCAGTGACTTCGCCCCCTAGCCAATCAGCAGCCAGAATCGCCATGCCGGCCCGACTCAGCCTTTCTAGGTACCTCAGCGGAACAGGGAGGGCAGATAGAGGGAAAATACCGAACCGTGCCCTTGGGAACAGTGGTCGGGCCGAGCTGCACCGGTCCGAGCTGCTCTGACTAGCGCTCCTGGGGGGTAAAAAAACAGCTACTGTGTCTGGTTCTAACTGGTTCTAACCGGTTTTAATATGGTTTTTCTGGGTTTGTCTGGTTCTAAATGATTCTAACTGGTTTTAATATGGTTTTTTTTTTCTTTGTCTGGTTCTAACTGGTTCTGGCTGATTCTAACCATGTCTTATCTGGTTGTTTCTGGTTCTAACTGGTTCTGGCTGGTTCTAACCACGCCTCATCTGCTTGTTTCTGGTTCTAACTGGTTCTGGCTGGTTGTAACTGGTTCTGGTTGGTTCTAACTGGTTCTGGCTGGTTATAACTGGTTCTGGCTGGTTGTAACTGGTTCTGGCTGGTTCTAACTATGTCTTATCTGCTTGTTTCTGGTTCTAACTGGTTCTGGCTGGTTGTAACTGGTTCTGGCTGGTTCTAACCAAGTCTTATCTGGTTGATTCTGGTTCTGGCTGGTTCTAACTGGTTCTGGCTGGTTGTAACTGGTTCTGGTTGGTTCTAACTGGTTCTGGCTGGTTGTAACTGGTTCTGGCTGGTTCTAACTACGTCTTATCTGCTTGTTTCTGGTTCTAACTGGTTCTGGCTGGTTGTAACTGGTTCTGGCTGGTCCTAACTGTGGACAGGAAGAATCTTCTGTGTTGCAGCAGATGTGAAGAAGCTTCTGACTGAAGGCAATCTTATGGAGAAGATGATAAGGGTTCTTCATGTTCTCAAGCGTTCTCCTTGGTCCAACCAGCGGTAGAGGCTTCAGAGCCATCCCGGATCAGAAAGTTACCCGCTACGTTTAACAACTCTTTAGTTTCACACACACACACTCGGGTTCCTTCACCCGGAGTTTATCAGAGATCCAAACTCTCTGAGCTTCCTAAGAACTAGAGCCTGATGCAGCAGATGTTTCTTCATCCTGCTGCTCTTCAGACGTTCCTCTGGGGCTCTTCAAATGAAATACTAAAAAATATTTTTTATGATATGATGAATAAAATCATGATTATTTACCACTAACAGAGCCTAAGAGCAGCTTCTGGTCTGGACCAAATGACCTGATGTCTCCAGCTGGCTCCGGGAATTCCCAGCCTTCCATGCTGTTTTTCCTACATTTGGCAGCAGCCGAGCTCCGTCGTTTCTCTCCTGTCTCGTGTTTTCATCAGCAGCTCAGATCTTCATGACACCAGGGTCCGGGGCGGATAATGAAGCCTCAGAATGAGTTTGTATACGTGTTCTTCTGTGAACGGATATTAATATCAGACGGGAAATTAAAATCTGGGTTCCGTTTGGCTCCGACCCGCGCGCTGCAGGTCCAGCGGAACAAGCGGTTTTTCCTCCCGTCTGCTTAAAGGAGGTTTTAACAGCTCTGCACTTTTATTTATTTTCCATCAGGTTTATTAATAACTAGTGAGGATTGTCGGTTTTTCAGCTGTTTTTAAAACAAATGTCTGTAAAACTCTTCCAGGTCTTGTTCTTTCCTAATACGATGAAACTCGTTAAGGACCTGCGGTTCCTGTTCGATTTTTACAAACCGTCTCATCTGTAAACGCCGTGGGAGCGATGCTGATCAGCTGTGGCGGCCATCTTAAATCAGGCTGACCCCCACAGTGTATTTCAGTTGCAGACGAATCGTGTCTTTCCTGTCAGAGTTTATTAAAATCCCTTCAGAGATGGAGCACTCGAGTCCAGGGCTTCGACACGAGTCAGGTTTAACCGTCCTTTCGCGTGACCCCTCCGGGACGGGACCGTTGAGCAGGGTTGGTGGTTTATCTCTTGGGATCCACGTGGCAGGGGGAGGTGGTGCTTACTTCTCAAAAATCTAAAACTATTATGGGACTTGTGACTTGAGGACTTGCAAATATAGGACAAACATGTCCGGAGAGAGTCCGTAAACACACCGCTGATGTGCGGTTTACTTTTGCACATTTTTCCTTAAATTCGAGAAAAAGCAGCGAAGACTAGAAGAGCAGACTGGGACAAGTCAACGTGCGTGCGCCATCGCCAAGGTAACGCAGGATCATGAGGCTAAATAATAAAACACGCCTAAAATAAACGTGAAAACTAGTCGACAGGTCGGCTGTACTCTTACCGAGGCTTTGATAAGTTCTGCTTCTTACATTTCTCCTGTAATCTGACCTAACATAACAAGCTAGCATTAGCATTGGCTACATGCTAGTTCCGACACTAGCAACACTACTGACCTTTCCGGGTGCAAACATAACTAGTGGGACCTGGACTCGGATTGACTTGGACTGGAAGACAACTTGGACTAGTCCTATGGGACTTGGACAGCAGAGGTGGTGACTTGACAACAACGCTGGTGCTACTGGACCTCATCAGCTCTACCAGGGTCAGGCTCTGCTGCTCCAGAGCCTCCTGAAAGGACCCGAACACTCTGAGTCTGAAACAAGTTAACGGATTCATCCGGCATGAAGGTGTGAACACCAGCTGATCTGGTGAGTCACAGATTTACTTGTGTTGTCTTCTTCAGAATGTGTAAGGCTTTGTGTTTCTCAGGTGAGGTCCATGATGAGTTCCGGGCTTTACATCTGCAGGTCAGGTCAGGTCTTGCCAGTGTGGTACCAGGTAACGAGTCTGCAGGTCTGTGAGGCAGGACGTGCACGAGAGCGCCCTCAGGTCTAGGGATGTGTAGTCGAACATCTCAGTAATTATTCACCTGTCCTCGCTGTAAAGTGCAGCTCGGCTGCTAATTTATCTAATTCTGCACAAACTGGTTGCTGCAGCCTGACAAACACAAAGAGCTGCGAGTGTAATGAGTTCTTTAATGGAGGGTAATTAATTGGCCCGGCTCCTTCCTCATGCAGCACACGCTGCACAAAATCAGAGTTCGCACACCAGAAATTATAATTAACTTCTTCTATCACGGAGACACAGACAGGAAGAAAAGGAAGCGCTTCACATTCTCGGCTTTTGTTTAGACTCAGTGATTTCTTATTTTACAGCTTCTGATTCGACTCTAATGAATTCACACGCCAGTTTGTCTCTGTTTATAATTACGAGTGTTTGATAAATATTTCTGTTTGTCACATTTTATTAACTATCGCTGCGTTTGACTCATTTGCAGCACTGAGCGACGGTGGGACTGTGCCGCATCTTCCGTAACAACGGACGCGTTTCTTATTGGTCCACCGGCAGTTCAAGTTCCTGTGGTGGGAAAAATACCACTAAATTAGTCGGAAAGTATAAGAGCACAAAAATGTCCAGGAAAACTTGATCCCATCTAACAATATCAACGTGGTTTGGTTTATTATGGCAGGAAATAATAAATAACATGAATAACCCACCTGGGAGCACACGTCGGCGACGGTGGCACGAGTTAAGTGCTCGCCTCGTAATCGGAAGGTAGAAAAAGAAGAAGATATAATTTCTATAGCGCCTCTCAAGATAAAAATCACGAGGCGCTTCAACAGAATAATCAGATGCTTGCTGCCAAACTTCAGTCAGAAACAGAAAATCCAGGTTTTTAGAGAGAATTGGATCATTGAGCAGGAATGACTTATTGTTAACAGAGCGGGTATTTAATAGTGCCATGCTGAGTGAGGTGGAGGAATCAGAAACTACAGAAACAGCTGGAGTTAGTGGACGTAAATTAGCAGGGTTAGATCCACGGTGTTTATAAAAACCACTTATGGAGGGAAAAGGAGGAGAAACCACTGAGGAATGAGGATAAAACGACCTTAAAAAACTTGGACGGATGAACCGCGTCCCAACGCCGCCTGGCGGGAATGCGGAAGTGGTTTTCAAGTCGCCAAACAAAGGACAAGAAGCTAGAAGATCACGGCGATGTTTACCAGATAAACCACGCTTTAAGAGAAGTCTTATTCTCACCGGGATTCCTGCTCGTTTACCTCTTTTCCTCCGACTTTTTCCCGGGACCGGATAAACATCGCTAGAGGTGCGCAGCTCGGGACCGTCGTTTGGCTCTGGGCTAGTGCACCACTCGGGTAAACACAAAGGATGGTACGTCCTCGGTGCATCTTGGGCGATCGTGAACGAACAGAAGGACAAAAGAGTCTGGCGATCATAGGAGATGGTAGCGGGGACACTACAGAAGAG